GGCGTCGTGACGGAAATCATGGCGTCGGGGGCCTGGGTCCGCCCCTCCCCAGACCCCCAGCGTCATGATTTTTTACATGTGCGTCGACCGATGCTTACGCAACACGCAGCACGTGGCGTATTGCTACGGAGCTCAACACGTGGACTGGAAACGTAGGTCCGACCCGATACGTTAGCCAAAACGTGGGCCAACACGTGGAGCCAACACGCAACGTATTGACACGGACGTCTTGAACACAGGACGTGTTGCGTTTCAATACGGGGGCGCATCGAGATAACTGAGACGTCGAGTCCTGCAGAAACCTCGACCCATTCCCCGGGACCGGTGTTTCCTCCCGAACCGTCTTTTGACGGCCCCGAGGCCCGGTCAGGGCGCCGACGGGGTGAAAATAGCGAAAAACCTCCCGTGATGATTTTTTCGTTGCTCGAGGGGGTCTGGGTCCTCTCGGGCGTTGGCAGGACTGGGGTTAGCGGAACCTGGCTTATTGATTTGCACCGGGGGCGCCCCCCCGCCCCATTTCCACTGACCAGAACTGCCGTCACCCGAAAAACACCAGTTACGGTAAACTTAGTTGAGTTAATCTGGCCAATTGAGGGGCTCCAGGGCCCTACCACTAACCGGGTCCCCTATACCCGGGGTCCTGGCCATACCCGGTCCTCTGCCCACCGCCCAAGCTCGCCGAGGCGCGAGCGCTCGCGGGGGTGGGGGGTGGGGGGCCTCGGGCAGTGGGGCGGCCTCTCAGGCGGGTCCGACGATCGGGGCTCCAAAATATGGTGCCCATCGGTCGGAGGAGGCGGCAGAGGAGCAAGGCATGGGAGGGCGTTGGAACCCAGGCATGCGACGTCCTGGTTTCTTCAGGACGCCGTCCCTGGAAGTCCCGACCCTTTCCCTGGGACCGGTTTTTCGTCCTGAGTCGTTCTTTGACGCTCCCGAGGCCCGGCGAGGGCCCCCCGAGGCCGAAACTGGTCAAAAACCTGCCGTCCGGATTTTTTCACGACGAGAGCATGTCTGGGGAGCAGACTGGATTTCCGATCGCCTCGTGCAGGCGACGGGGGAGGAAGAGCCACTCGACCCTTGAGAAACAGGACGTGGCCGACAATAGACTGGGAACCTGGAAGCCCAGCGCAAGCACGTTGCTCTTTCTTTCACCATTTCAGCGTTGACCTATCATACCGCCGATAGAGTTCAGAGGAATCGAAAGCTTCATGCCGTGGTAATCGGCCTGGGTGCGATGCATGCGTCATGATGCAAAAACCTGTGGATGGCGATTTGTCTTGCCGAACGCTCCTATATCTGTCAGCAGGTAGAACCAAGCTGTCCAGTACATGGACGAGGAGGACGTGCAGACGGAGATGTGGAAAGCAAGGAGACGAGGAAATCTGAGCGAGAGGGGATCAAACACAGGTACAGCGCAGGTGAGTCCTAAAGATGATATGGAAGGACGGTCATGGAACCACACATCACGAGGAAATGTGCGCCGATGGTCCTGGTCAGTGGAAACATATATTGCTCGAAAATGGTTTGTTTCAGACACTTCTTGATGCCGTCTGTTGCTTCCGCAGCTCGCATCAAGGCCGCAAGCACTGCTGCCTACACCATAAACCCAACGACACGTGACACACACACACACACCTGCCCCACATTCCGAACAACACTTCGCGATCATGTGTTCCGCCGGCCCACAATCCGGAAACATCATATCAAACGGCATGAATCCAGATACGCTCCGACGAGTCGAATAGAACTATGGCCAATTCCATGAATTATGAATCAACAAGATGTAGAAGGAGAGGGAGAAGACCTGCTTAGAAGGCTCGGAAGATCCCAGGACTTCCGAAAAGTGTTCCAAGCCTGCCCCGGAAACAGAAACAACTTCTCAGAAGGCGCGAGGGCTTCTGAGAAGTCCCGCCGCCTTCTGAGAAGGCCTTCTCCTTCTCGATTCCCCACACTCGCCGCCGACCAACAAAACCATCTCTTGGGGACGCAAATCTTACTTCCGCCGCCTTCCGCCGAACTCCCGCAGCCTTCCGCTGACCTCTCGAGGGGCACGCCTTGTCCGGAGCTCTAAGGGAAAGCCTGCCCGTGCGAACGAGAAAACCGACGGAAACCGAACACCTCCTGGTAAGGACTTGGCAACGGGAGAACGGATGATAGTTCAGGGTTGAGTTTACATGTTCTAAACATGTTTTCCAGGTCGGACAGGAAAAAATCCCGGCCCCGCCGTGCGAGACATCCTCAGAAAATGCCGGCCGGCCGGCTGGTCGGTTGGTAAGTAGGCCGGTTGGTTGGTTGGTTGGTTTGGTCGGCAAATCGGCTTTGGTTGGTTGGTTGGTTGGCCGATTGGTTGGTTGGTTGGCCAATTGGTTATCTGACTGGTTGTTGGTTCGGCTAAACGTAAGCGTTACCTGGGCAAAGATAAATTCTGGTGTGCGACTTCACGGGGGACGCGGGGTGGCCAAACCCGGCAAGCCGCTGACACCGCATCGCGTTCGGCGATCGGGGGACCCCCAATGGGCCCGCACCAAAGGTCACTCCCCACACCCCCGACGTCATGAGTTTGTCATGACTTCGGCCTCCAGAGGTTTCGACCTCGTCCCTGGGACCAGTTCTTCGTTTTCTGACTGTCCCGAGGCCCGGCAAGGGCTCCTGGAGGCCGAAAATGGTGAACAATCTCCCGTCGCGTTGTTTTCATTGCTCGAGGGGGTCTGGGCCTGGCGAAAGGTCGCTCTTACGTGTAGAAGACGGTTGGTTGGCCCCGTGTTCGATCGGTTGGTTTTCTCGGCCAGATCCGTTTCCTGGGAAGGAGGAGGGGGAGGAGGAGGAGGAGGAGGACGAGGAGGAGGAGAAGGAGGAGGAGGAGGGAGGAGGAAGAGAGGAGGAGGAGGAGGAGGAGGAGGAGGAGGGAGGGGGAGAGGGAGGAGGGAGAAGGAGGACGGAGGAGGAGAAGGAGGAGGAGGACGAGGAGGAAGGAGGAGGAGGAGGAGGAGGAGGAGGAGGAGGAGGAGGGAGGAGGGAGGAGGAGGGAGGAAGGAGGGAGGAGGGAGGAGGGAAGAGGGCGGCGGCCCGCACAATCAGACGCCCGCCCGCCGGCCCGCGCGCCCGCTCGCCCGCCTGGTCCGCACGCGCGCGCGCGCGTGCCCGCCCACCACGACAACGACGGCGACGACGAGGACGGCGACGACGAGGACGAAGAAGAGGACGAAGACGAGGACGACGAGGACGATGAGGACGACGAGGATCACGACAGCGATGGCGGTGACGAAGGCGACGACGGCGAGGGCGACGGCGAGGACTGCGCTGACGATGGAGGGGGCGGGGACGACGGCGAAGACGATGACGAAGACGAGAAGACGGCGACGACGAGGACGACAAGGACGACGCCGGCGAAAACGACTTAGATGACCGCCATAACCCTTCGGACTCCTTCGGAAGCCTAAAGAAAAACAAAGGGCTCCATCGGAATCCTTACACATTCTCGAACATGTGCCAGAATATCCGCCGGACGCCTTTTGGACACCACGTGAAATCTTCATGACAGCTTACGAAAGTCAATCGCAATTTTGAGGAAATTCAGAAACAGGAAATCCTTAGGAACCTGGTGAATCTAAAGCCATCCTTGGGTAATCTTTAATGGCTACTGAGAACATATTTCGGGCATCCTGGAGAATCCTTAACGTACTCGTCACATGGCAACTGGAACACTGATTACTCTAGACTACTCGTCATCGTCGTATTCCCACTTCTAGTGGATCTGCTCACCATCATCATCATCATCATCCATCATCATCATCATCATCATCATCATCATCATCATCATCATCATCATCATCATCATCATCATCATCATCATCATCATCATCATCATCATCATCATCATCATCATCATCATCCGCATTATCCTCATCCTCATCATCCCCTCCTACTACTTCTGCCGACCCTCATCCTGAGTATGTTCACCCTACCCCCTCATCCCGCCCATCGTGAACATCATCACAATTATCATCCCCCTCCTGCTGTCCATCCTCGTCCAACTAGTCTTAGGTCGGGCGTGTCCCGCTACAGGGGGTCTGCGACGAAACATAAAAAATATTCAGACATACCCACAAGATGCCCACACATGCTCAAAACATCGTCCCCAGACTATGTGTTGACTATTTTTGAATCTTCCCCCTGTAGAGGGACGGGGCCGACTTAAAACTAGCCATCATCATACCCCTCCTGCTCCTGAGTTCCCTCGGGCAGGCGGCCCCTGCCAGGCGGATCGGGCGGGTCGCGCGGGCGGACCCTGACGGGCGGGCGGGCCGGATCGGCCAGGAAATGAAACTGATGTGCAAATCCGTCCGGGGAGACATCCACGAGGGCGACGACGACGCGGACGGCGCGAGGGCAACGTCCACGACGACGAGGGCGACGAAGACGGGGGGCGCCGAAGCGGGGGCGCCGAAGACGACGCGGACGACGACAAGGACGGTGACGACGACGAGGGCGACGACGACGAGGGCGACGACGACGACGACGACGACGACGACGACGAAGACGACGACGACGGCCACGCAGAGGTCGACAAAGACGACGACGACAACGATAAGGGCGACGAATGTGACGACAACCCTGTTTTTTGATGGATTGCGGATGGAGGCTGCGTCCCAGCCGAGTTGGGGCGCCGAGGGCTGTTGCCTTAGTCTGCCCGCTGCCGATTCGCAGCTGGCGCGCGATGTTGGCTGGCGGCCCTCGCCGCCCACAGCATTGGCACGCTGGAGAATGAGGAGAAAGGTTGGGAACGGCGGGAGGTGGAGCAGCAGGAAGGACAATGGGAAGGAAGGGGCGGATCACGAAGACTGCAGCTGCAGAGTTGCCGCGGCCATGTTGGATCCCGCCCCCACGGAGTTTCCAGTGCCCCTCTCGTCCGCCCCGAACACCGGCTGCACACCAGAGTGACCCGCGGCGCGCGGCTTCCGGGGGCCACGCGGGGCCGGGCCCAAGCGCACACACCACTGCCAATGCTGGGTGGGGGCTCCTCTGGCGAAGGGCCACTGGGCGCCGCCAGCCGCCTGCCGCCGCCGAGCCCTGCCCCGAGGGCGCAAGGACGGCCGAAGAGGCCACGCCCCCGAGGCGTGCGCCCGCCCGGGCCTCCTCACTTCGGGTCCCAGGCGGCGCTCCAGAACTTCGCCGCCCCGCCTGCAGGGGCCTTCCAGCCCCTCGCCTGCGCGGCGGCCTCCACGCTGGAGGTCCTGGGCGCCCTCGACGCCGCCCTGGCGGCGGCGGCCGGCCACGGCGAGAGGGCTCCGCTGCTGGCCGCGAGCGTGCAGCCCCTGTACATCGAGCAGGACCTTCGGTCGGCCAGCGCCTGGTCGACGCCCTCGGTCAGCCGCACCGTGGTGCCGATGGTGCCCCCGGCGCTGGGCTGCCAGCTGGTGTGCGCCAGCATCGTCTCCCCCGCGGCGCCGAGCCGTCACGGCGGCGCCGGCGCTCCAGCCCGTGGGGGAGCCCTTGGCGCTGTCACGCCTCCTCCGGGGCGTGGCGCTCAGCCTGAAGAACTGCGGCGACGTCGGCCTGCTGCTCAGGCGCCGGGCCTGGCTCTCTGGGGGCGTGCCGGGGGACCTGCCCGTCGCGGTGCCGGGCACGCCTTCGGGCGACGGCGGCTCCGGCGCGGGAGCGGCGACGCGGGCGGCGGGGGCTGGCGTGGAGCCCGTGCTGTCCATCGCGGGGTGCGCGGCCGCCGCGTACTCGGAAGTCCCCGAGGTCTGGGCCCCAGTGGCGCCGCTGGAGCCCACCCTGGACAGGCGGGGCGCCGTGGCAGCCGCAGGCCGCAGGTCGGCGGCGGGGCGGGCCTTGGGCGACGAGGCGGCCGGCGTCTTGGGCGACGAGGCCACGGGCAGGTGGCTGCACGAGCCGTTCAGGCGGCCGTCCAGGAAGCGCCTCATGCTACCGGTGCTCCACTGGAGGGGCTGCGTCCTGGGGCTCATGTCGCGCGCCCAGGCTGACGACTTCTCCGCGCGCGCGGCCCTGGCCCTCTCCGCGGCCGTCGTCGTCTCGTGGAACTGCGCGGGAGAGTCGTAGAGGAGCGACATGGTCCTGCTCACAGTCCAGCAGTCTGGGCTCGCAAGCCTCGGCCACGGCCCGCCGGCGGCCAGTGCTGGGGAGGCGTCGCCAGGGGGGCCAGGGCACGCCGAGGCGCTCGGCGTCGAGGCGCGCGGCGACCCTGGCGCGTGCCACCCCGGAGAGCGGGCGCCGAGGGACCGCTGCCTGCTCAGCGACCGCTCCCTGCTCGGCGAGCGCGGGGGCGGCGTCGCGGACGAGGGCTCGGCCTCCCCATGCTCGCTCGGCTGCCTGCGGGCGGACGAGCTCCTCGGCCGCAGGCTCGTGCGCGGCGGCGACAGCCGCCGCAGGGAGCCGTAGGCCCCTATGCCGAGGCCGCCGTCCCCGCCCGGCCACGCCACCTCGAGCCGACGGCCGCTCTAGCCAAACTGGCTACGCACGACCGCGACGACAACCCTGACGGACGGCTCCGCTGGGCGGCCCGCGACGGGCGCGTCGAGCCGGGCGGGGCGGGCATGGCGGGGCCCTACTCAGGGCGGGCCGGGCGGGCTCCGCATCGGCGGGCCCTGTAGAGAAGGGCGGGTCGAGCCCGCGGGCCCCAACGGGCGGGTCGGCCCGTCGGGCCCTAACGGGCGGGCGGGTCGGGTCGGGCGGGACACTCGAGTAGTGTGCAATTCATCTAGCACGACATCAACGGGGGCGACGACGACGAGCACGGCGACGACGTCGATGACGATGCCGACGACGACGAGGGCGACGACAACAGCGGCGACGACGACCAGGGCGACGAAGGCGACGAGGACGACGACCACGACGACGACGACGACGACGACGAGGGCGACAAGAGGGCCACCACGACGAAGACGACGACGACGAAGACCCTAACAGGTGGGTCGGGCGTTCGAGTCCTAACGGGCAGGTCGGGACGGTGGACCTTGATGGGTGGGTCGGGCGGGCGGACCCTAACGGGCGGGCGGGTTGGGGCGGGCGGAACATCGAAGTAGTCTGCAGTCCACTGCAATCCATCCAGCCAGACGTCCACGAGGGCGACGACGAGGGCGACGCCGACGGCGACGAGGGCGACGAAGACGAGGGCGACGAAGATGACGACGACGACGGCGTCGATGAAGATGACGACGACAGCGATGAGGGTGACGACGACGACGCCGATGCCAGCTCCGACCAACTAATCACGAGGGAGACGACGACGACGACCACGACGACGACGACGACGAAGACGACGACGACGACGACGACGACGACGACGACGACGACGACGACGACGACGACGACGACGACTATGACGACTATGAGGGCGACGACTGGGACGACGATCCTAACGGGCGGGTCGGGCGGGCGAACACTGACAGGTCGGTCGGGCGGGTCGGGCGTGTCAGGCGGGCGGGACGCTACTGGGCGGGTCTGGCAGGCAGACCCTATGAGCGGGTCGGGCGGGCGGACCCTAGCGGGCGGGCGGGCCGGGTCGGCCGGGACATTCGAATAGCGTGCAAAACATCCAGCAAAACGCGCACGAGGGATACGACTCTGACGAGGGCGAGGGCGACGACGACGAGGGCGACGACAACAACGGCGACGAGGGCGACGAACACGACGACGACGGCGACGAGGACAACAACGACGACAACGACGACGAGGGCAATGACGACGACGCCGACGACGAGGGCGACGAAGGCGACAACGACGACGACGAGCCTAACAGGTGGGTAGGGCGGGCGGTCTCCAACGGGCGGGTCCAGCGGGCAGACCCTCGCAGGCGGGTCGTGCGGGCGGATCCCGACGGGCTGGTCGGGCGGACCACCAATGTACTGGGCAACCCACCCAGCGAACATCAACGAGGGCGACGAGGACGACGACGACAGCGACGACGATGACGAGGGTGACGACGACGACGACGACGACGACGACGACGACGACGACTATGACGAGGGCGACAACATCGACGACGACGACGAGGGCGACGAAGGCGACGAGGCCGACGACGAGGACGAAGACGGCGGCGAGGGCGACGACAAAGAGGGCGACGACGACGACGACCATCTTGCAAACATGTTATCCCCAATGCAGTTCTGACCTTCATTTGATTTTCTCTCTCTCTCTCTCTTTCCCTTGCCCCCTTTCCCCGTTTTTTGTTGTTCTCTCTCTCTCTCTCTGTCTCTTTCTGGTTTCCTTGGCGGCCACGACCCTGACGGGCGGGTCGGGCGGGCGGACCCTAACAGGCGGGTCGGAGGGTCGGGCGGGCGGACCCTAACGTGCGGGCTGGCCGGGCGGTCCCTCATGTGTGGGCGGGTCGGGCGGGACACTCACGAGGGCGACGGGATGAAACTCGCACGATCAGGATTCGTACGGGCAGAACACGGAACTCGCACAGACGGAACTCACAGCAGCGGAAGTCGCAAGCAAAGAAACTTCGAGCCGCGCCCAAAATTCACGCGCGCGAGTTCCGTTCCTGCGAGTTCTGCGCGTGCGAGCTCCGTCCGGACGAGTTCTGCTGTGCGCGCGAGTTCCCTCTGCGCGAGTCCCGCTGCGTGCCAGCCGACGGCGTGCGAGCTCCGCCTCGCAGCAGGAGCTCCGCGTCGCGCGAGCTCCGTGCGTGCGCCTTCTCTGCCAGCTGCGAGCTCCGTGCGTGCGCCCTTCGCGCCTCGGCGGCTCCCGCCGCCTCCCCCACGTGGGCGGCAGCGAGGCGGCCACGAGGCGGCCGCACGGCGCAGCCCGGGCGGGCCCGACCGCCTCTTCTGCGACGCGTGTAGGATAACCTGGAGGCCAGCATTGCCCGGGGAGTGCTGCGGGCAAGACTCGTGTCCATGTCCGCTGCAGCTTGGAGTTTCGGGCTCTCGTCCCCAGAACCCCGAGGCGCACTGGGTATGGATAAGAATCTGGCCCCTATAGAATCGATGTTTGTCGGTATCCCGTGCGCCTCGGCCTTGCGGTGCCCCTTCCAAGAAAGTCCACGACGCGCTGGATATGGATATAAACACTGCCCGCAAATGCCATCACACCACCCTCGTCAAAACGAACCTCAAGCATGGCGACCACGCCCCTGCGATGCCGGCGCGCCCTTCAACGTCGATGGACGCCCCTCCAAGGCCGGGGCCAGGGCAAAAGGGGCCTGACCGGGAACGACTCGGAAGTTCGATGATGGCCGACATTGGAGGGGCGGCGCATAGAATTACCTCGCAGTCACCGCTACTCTGTCCAGTATCTCCCCACAAACAGTTCAGCCACGCAAGACGTTTTTGAGGTTAATTTTGACGAGGGTTGTAGGACATCCCGAATGTTGGCACGCCCGAAATGGGTACGGAACAGGTTGGTGCGATGCACAGAAACAAATACTGTCCAACACCGACAGCGGCCGCTTTTGGGCAGGCGGCCTTCTGTCCCAAATGGGCAACGTCCGCGGCGACACCGACAGCGAGTCCTGTTGAAAGTAAACTTCTGTCGGGCGTGTCCCCCTACAGGGGGATTTTCGACGAAGAAAACCAATACCCCAAATATACCCCCAAAAGGCCAAACAAATATGCGAAAAATAGCCCCCTGACTATCTTTTGACTATGTTTTACTATTTTGGGTTTTGTTTTACTTTTCGTCGAACGTCCCACAATAGGGGGACAGGCCCGATTTAAAAGTAAACGAGGGGTGCTGTCGGTCTTCTTACACATTCTCTCCGCGCACGTCGCTCGTGCCGACGTGAGCCTCGACTCCCCTCCCTTGGCGGCGAGCGCGCGAGGGACGTCAGGAGGGACGGGCTTTCTCATCAGGCTCGGAGGTCTCCCGGCCTTCTGGCAAACTGTGCGAAGGCGCGAGGGCTTCTGAGAAGCCCCGCCGCCTTCTGAGAAGGCCTTCTCCTTCTCACTTTCCCTCCCTCACTCGCCGCCGATCCTGGTCAGAGCGCCCCCCCCCAGAGGTCCGGGGAGCAGCGGCATCGGTACGGCAGGTTCGTGTCGTGCCGACTTCGGCGTTGGTTTCTGACACCGCGGAGATCGTTCAACCTTGAACGTTCGGCGGCTTCTCGATCGCCAGATCATTCCATATTGGCAGATTCTGGGCCTGCACAATTTCCCTTGGGGCCGTAGGCGACCCGAGGAGGAGGAGGAGGAGGTAGAGGAGGGGGAGGGGGAGGAGATGGAGGAGGAGGAGGGAGGAGGAGGAGGAAGAGGAGGAGGAGGGAGGAGGAGGAGAAGGAGGAGGAGATGGAGGAGGAGGAGGAGGAGGAGGAGGAGGAGGAGGAGGAGGAGAGGAAAGGGGAGGGAGGAGGAGGAGGAGGAGGAGGAGGGAGGAGCAGGAGGAGGAGGAGAAGGAGGAGGAGGAGGAGGAGGACGGGCCGCCGAAGCCACTCGGGGGAACCCTCCATCTGGGCCGCGGGCGGCGTGCAGCCTGAAACGCCCGCGTTGGGGTCGCCGCCGGTCGGCACGACGCGACCCTGCCGTGTCTCGCAGCTCCCCCAGGACTCGGGCGTGCGAGCACTCTATAGAGGCATCCTAGACGGGGTCGGAGTACATGGGGTCGGAGGACCGTGCTGCATCGCCGGAGGAGGAGGAGGAGGAGGAGGGAGGAGGAGGAGGAGGAGGAGGAGGAGAGGAGGGGGCGGGGAAGGGGAATGAGG